GGGATATCAGTTAACGAACGGTGGATTATGCCTTAGGGGCTGTTCGTTTGGTGGAAGTTACCACTGCTCTATGATTAGGTAATTGATCCCAATGTCAATAAAGATTACAATTAATGTCAATACCAGTGATACAATCTCACAGTGACCAGTGATTTCTAAGGCAATTATATGATTGGTTTATTCAATGTCAGTGCTCAGCTATCTGTTATATACAACAGCAATTAACTATATACAAAATTATCCTCACGAGGATGTAGTCCTACGTGGTCAACTGCACCACGAATGTGATTAATCAGCCTTATCCTTAACCTACACCAGAATAACCCTCACGGTGATCAGGGTAAACCTCACAGCGATCAGGGTAACCCTCACAATAACTAGGTAACCCTCACAGTGATCAGGGCAACCCTCTAGTCTAAATAAATAATCTACCAATGGCTTATAACTGAAAAGTCTTAACCACACAAGCGAATACAATCTTCGTAACTGTACAACACAACACAATGGTGTAGACTTGTACAACAATAATCTATACTGCCTTACGAAGCAACACAGTTCCCAAACTGCAACAAGATTTAAGGTGACTTCAATAACCCTCACCCACTTCAAGTTATTACGAAATAACACAGGTAAGTTGATTAAGAAGGCGATTATAATAGTCCTCACCAGACTCTAACGGAAACCTGCAGCCAGTAAACCTCAAATGAGGAAAGCAAGCTCCCAGACAAAGATGCAACCAACTGTCGCTATGCCAACAAGCATCGAACAACCACACACAATCCTTTTAGTCTAAGCTCCGCTAATTCACCAATTAACTGATTCACACGGGTTCCCTAACCCTATAATCTACCACTTCTTAAATAAACGAGACTGTCTAACGATTCCCCAATCTTCAAAGAGATCTGATATAATCGGCAGCTCCGGCAACTGAGAACAAGCACCACACAAACTGATCGCACCAGGTACACTTGAGGTAGATCCCCAACCACCAGCGGTCGTACGTCAGATTTACACACGAAACTCAGAACACAACACAACTCCACAGAGCTCTGGTTAGCACGCTGCCATCTTGAGAAGTCCTGGCAACCCACGCAGCAAGCGCCCAGACCTAAGGTAATGCGCGTCTCTGATTGGTTGCCGCGCGCATGTTTAATGCATGATTAGACGCTCCTGAATTATTAATGATCCTGACTAAACACAAGTCTGCGCAGCTACCCTGTTTCGCCACAGTATTGAATAGTAAACCTCTCCCACATTTCTGTGGGGGAAGAGTCCTCTGCTTTCAACCTACCCCAAACAGTCAGTAAATATGCAGAGTCGCACCAATCCCCAGGAGGAAGGTAGGGCAAGGACGTACTATGTCCAGAAAGTGTGTTAGAAGAGGATATAAACCTCGCTTAGTATAGTGCGGACTCACCAGATCATGAAACTGTTAGATAGTTCCAGTGGTGGTCTGCCCAGCTGAAGAGCCCTTCTGCGATGACATCACCGATGACATCCATGTGAGGAGTCTCTTTGTAAGACATTGGTGAGGCAGCATGTGATGAATGTTGATAATGTTGATGAAGACTTCCAACATGCCGCCTTCCATATTTCGTTCATGGGAACGTCTCGGAAATAGGACCATGAGGTTGAGACTGCCCTGATGTCATGAAATCTGATAAGACGTTGAGTCTGATTGTCTGTGGAATTTGGCCAGTTCGGGTTGGCAAATTTAATGGCTGAAACTGCCCACCTGGCTAAAAGTGTCTCTGGTTGCCACTAGATATGGCTTTACTGTTGAGTAAATGAAGAGCTAAAATGTTGTACCTCCAAGCATTCCTAGCTAGGTACCATTTAAGAGTTTGGACTAGCCACCAAGGCTTGTCATTTGGGGTCCCAATGTGTTTAGTAATGTCTGGCACAAAAATATCAGGAGGATGGGAGGACACAGACTGATTCTTGGTGAGGAATCCCTGAGCAGGGATGCGGCAAACACCATGGGGTTTCCATCAGATGTGGCCATCAGCGGTGGAGAACGCTTTCAGTTCGCTGCCTTGATGTATGGGAGTAACTGCTCATAGAAATGCCAGCTTCAATGTCAGGTTGAGTAGCGAAGCTTCACTGAGAGGTTTGAAGGGTGGACCAGCAAGCAGATGAAGCACAGCTGACAGTTCCCAAGAAGGAATTAACCTTTTGGTAGGGGGCACTGAAGAAACATCCCTTGGCCTTCTTGATTAAGGGCGCTGTTGTTGGATACCGTCGAATAATCAGGAAAACCATCATGATAGCTGTAATAGCCGAACGGTAGTTCCAGCAGATTAGAAATACTGGAGGGAAGGTATAGGCCGACATACCTTCCCAGATGATCTGACAAGGCGTTCATTGCCCAAGCCTGTAGGTGGTAGTGCAGAGCACTGGCAGTAGGGTATTCTCTGCTGTTCAGTCTCCTGATCTTGTTGAAGACTTGTTGGACCACACCGGTGCGAAGAGTCCACTCCATTAGGCAGATATTCCCACAGGAGAGGGCATCTGCAATGGAGTTGTCAATGCCCGGTTTGTGGGTCACCCGGGGATCAATGTTATGATCCTGAGCCAACAGGAACATTTGTCTTGTCAGGAGGCAGAGCCGAGGAGAACGCATGGTCCTGACGGCTGACGTACAATACCATTGTGGAGTTGTCTGAACAAATGAGGATGCGTTTGCCTAGAAAGCTCTAACAGAAGGACTTCAGAGCATTGAATACTGCCTAGAGTTCTAAGACATTGATGTGACTCTCTCGGAACTGGAGTTCCCAGATTTCTGATGCTTGAAAAGGAGGGAGGCTCCCCAGCCGAGGCTGTTATGATTGCTTCTGGCTCCGCTTTGCCGAAAGGAATTCTGGATGAGAGGTGGCTCTTAACCAGCCACCACTGGAGATGAGGGTGGATGAAGTCTGTTATGGGGACAGGGAGATTGATGGAGTCTCCTTTTGGTCTGTAGAAGGCTAGTACATGAAGCTGTAATGCGCGCATACACAGTCTGCAGAGAGGAACTTAGTTCACCATGCCAGCCATCAGTCAGAGAAGTTGGAGCCACACATGGGCGGGAGCTGACTGCTCGTAAAGAGGACCTTCACGCAATCCAATTGAGCTTAGACTTCTCCAGATTGATAATGAAGCCCACGGCGCTTGCGACATTGCAGGGTAAGATGAGTAGAGGATGCTGCCTCGTCAAATGATTTGCCAATGATGAGCCAGTCATCAAGATGTTGGAACAGCATGACGTCCAGCTTTCAGAGATAAGCTGTATTGATCTTTACAACCCTTGTGAACACTATCAGAGAAGTGGAGAAGCCGAAGGGAAGAGCTCCGAACTAGAATAGTTTCCCATCCTACAAGAAGCGCAGGCACTTGGAACTTTGTGGGTGTATTGGGACATGAAAGTATGCGTCCTTCAGGAAGAGGCCCAACAAGAATTTGGAAACTTGAAAAACTGTCTGTAATGTGTTCATGCAGATTTTTTTGGGCTGAATGAACATGTTCAGAGGCTTGAGGTTGATGATGGGTCTCCACATGGGGCACACATTGCGTGTTTTGCAGAAATTACCTGGGAGTGAAGAGCAGTCCCCCAAAATAAACAATATAAACAATTGTGCTGTATTTGTTTAACTCGAAGTTTTGGTGTAAAATACTTCCACAAAGTGTAAACAGAATGCGGGTCTAGGAATCATTTCTGACACGCAGACTTCGTCTTTTTACACCGGAACACTTGCAAGTGCGCTACGATGATCGATCTAGACACATAAACCACACCGGGACCGCAAAATCAGACTTGCAGGAATTGGCCCAATTATTACCGTGGGCCCATTGTAGCCAGTGCGTCGGCAAGCCAACTGATGGCTCTTTACGGTGGCTGCAGCAATGCATTGGAGATCTTTTTGTATGCCGCATGCGCCATACGTACCAAAGTTACCTCTGGCCTAATGGTCTGCCCAACTGCTTGTGTTCGCCCATGCGATGGTTGCCCAATTAGAGCCACAAACCACACCATGCTCACCCGCAGTGGACCAACCATGTGACTGCATTGCAGAGCTTTTGCGTAGCAACAAAACAACAAAAATCCTCAGCAAAAAGTCTTTCAATGAACAAAATAACCACAATGTTATTTCAAAAGTCATCGTAGGAAGATTTACAGTAGCTTTGCGTCAGCGTATAGGTACATGTTATGATACACATCATATTAATGACTTAACTTCAAAAGAAATTGGGACCTTCTTTTAACCACTTCCTGCCGGGGAATCCAGGATCGGAGACGTATGGTTTATATGGGTGGCCGGGGTCTCCGAACTCGGACAAAGGAAAC